AAGAGTGGTCATTCATGTCGTGTTCCTGATTTTAGGCGGAAAACTTTCAGCTTTTTACAACTAAGTATGTTATTAGCTGTGGGAGTTTTGTAGATGTTCTTTATTTGATAGAGGAAATTCTCTTCTATTTCTAGTTTGTTGAATGTTTATTTTTCATAAAAAGGAGGGCATGAATATTGTCAAACACTTTTTTCTGTGTGTATTTAGATGATCATGCAGTTTTTATTCCTTTTCCTTGCTGTTCTTCAGATTGCATAATTTCTATTGATCTAGCATCGTGATTCTTTCTTCTCCTGGCTCAACTCTACTGTTGAACCTCTTTAGTGAATTTTAGTTTTAGTTATTGTACTTTTCAACTGTAAAATTTTCATTTGGTTATTTTAAATACTTTCTGTCTATTGATATTCTCTGTTGGGTGAGACATTGTCATCACATCTTTCTTTACAAATTCTTTAGGCATGCTTCTTTTAGTTCTTTGGCGTTTAGCATAGCTGCTTTGAAGTCTTCTGTTAAATTTAACATCTGGGTACCCCCAAAGGCAGTTTTTGTTGCCTGCTCTTTTTTCTGTTTATGGGCAACACTTTCCTGTTTATTTTCATGTCTCATCGTCTTTTTGTTGTTAAAAACTGGACATTTTCAATAATATATTGTAAAAACTATGAATACTTAATCTGCATCCCTCTCCCCGCCAAGAATTCTTATTGTTTGCAGGCTTGTTTGTTTATTTATTTAGGGACACGGTTGTACTAGTTCGGGGAAGTCTATTTTCCCATGCAGTGTGTGCGCTCTGATGTCACTCCTCAGAGGACACAGCCTTGGGCCTGTGTGTAGTTGCCCTGACCTCCCTTCCCTGGGATGACTGTATATGGTTGTAGCCAGTTCTCTTTGACTGTCTTGTTCCCTGAACACCCAGTTAAGCTTCAGTCTTGTATCACATGCAATTGTTGGCCTTCACCAATTGCTAGTTGATTACTCTACTGTTTTTGATAATATCTTGGCCATAAATTGCTACAGTCTGATCCAATTAAAGCTAGGCCTCTTTGCAAGAGTAGTCTTTGCATCTTGTTCTACCTTAGGAGGGCTCTTCTTAGTTTTCTTGTTCCCTGGTTCTCTCTGATAACCTTCTAGCTGCTCTACCATTTTCTAATTGTTGTCGAGGAGGCTCCTTTTAATTGTCAAGAATTCTATTGTTTTCATCAGTGCCCTTGGCTTGAAGTTTCCTATGCTCTGTTACAAATTAGGAGGTATGTTTCCTGATTTCTATATTTAAATTAACACCACCTATAACTCTTTCTTCATCTTACCTGCTTTATTTTCCTTCATAGCACTTACATTTATCTGGCATTACATTACGTATTTGTTTCACTGTCTATCTTCGCCATTATGATACTATGTAAGCTTTATGAGGGCATCTTGTTGAATGCTGTATCCATGGTTCCTAGCAGAATGCTTAGCATATAGTAGGAAGGTAATTAATAATTGTTGAAAGTGTCAAGGAATATATAAGTTAGCAAAAACCACTGCCTATTAAAAGGAAGAGTAAAAATCACAGTGAGAGGAGACTCTCTTGACATACAGATGACTATTTCAGAAACCCTTCAAAGTCTCTGACTAAATAACAGAGTTGAGAAAATAAAAAGTATAAAAGGATATTAGATGTAATATCCCAAATGAAGATGAACTCAATAATAATGATGGTGATGATGATATCAATAACACTAAATCATGGCTGACACTAAATTGATGCTTATAGTGAGGTGAGCCCTGTGCTGTGTTTGGACCCATTATTTCATTTAATACTCTCAATGATGCTTGGAGGCAGATACTATTTTGCAGAGGTATATAGTGAGTACAGAAAGGTTAAATGAGTAAACTCAGGGCAGCAACAAACTTAGCAAATGGCAAAATTGGGCATCCAGACTGGGAAGTTAGACTTCAGAGCCTATTTTATCAAGTAAGCTATGATACTATGCCTAAACAGACCCAATATTAGAGAAAAGGAAATGGAGAAAGGAAGTACTCCTTCATAGACCCTAACTGCTGTGGGTAAATGAAGCCATGTTAACATTAATTCTGAAGTTGTTTTGACTCATTGCCTTATATCTTGGAACATGACCTTGGGTCCCATGTGAAGTCCACTTTCTGTAGCCCCTTATAAAAATTCCAAGGGAACCCCACATGGTATCTCGTTTATGTTCACAATAATTACAAGTGTGGGCTAGGTACTGCTGCTTTTCTGCATGAGTATCCACAGGCTCCCCCCATCTCTTGCTGGGCATCACAGTCTCCATGAGTATCCTGTGGCTACTCCCTGGCCCCCACATCAATACACTAATTCACAGGAGTAGAGCCACGATGATGGTTAATGGGGTCTGAGCAGAAATGAGATCCCTGCTCACGACACACGCTCTGCGTTACACTTTCCCTACCACCTGGGAAGCCAAGCAAGTCTATTCCTACCTTGAGAGTCTTGCTTGCTAATAGATTTTTCACCCTCTATAGGATTTGGCCCAGGAACTCAGTCTTGGAAAAAACTTGAAGCTGCATTCCATCAGCCCATTTTAGACATTTATGTATTATAATATTTATAAACTGGCATATATAGCCTTCTTTCTGCTCTTAAACCAAAGCAAAAACCCTAGTATCAGTTGATTTATGCAAACTGATGCCTTGTAAACACTGTGTGCTAATCATGATCAGACACTGTTGAATTCTAGCACTGGTGAAGCCCCAGACTAAACTGATTGCCCTTGATTGTTTCCCAAGCTGCTCCTGACATTACATTCTGTTTTTCTATCTGTTTAATATATCTGACTTATATATTGCATTAAGCTTGTGGAGCACTAGAAAAACAATTAGAAAAAGTGAAAAGCAAATCAAAACATGTTGCTTATAATCTCTAAGGGTCTAGTCTCTAGAATTCTCTGCTTAAGACAACTGCACAAAACAACTGTGGAATGTGAAAGGGATGAATGATCACTTGGAGGATGCCTCAGGCTACATTACATAAGAATGCAGCTCCTTACATTATATTGGGAGAGAGTTGGGTCTTAACTCCAAAGAATAAAAGCAATCCTTAGTTCTGTCTGTGAAGTGTGGTGAAAACAATGTAAGCTCTGAAGTCAGACACACTTGGTTTAGAATTCTGGTTCCTTCACCTCAACTGAATTTAGCAAACATGTATTGAGTGCCTACTGTATATGCTAGCCACTGGTAGGCACCAATGACAGAGATAAATAAACCATTATCCTGAAACAATAGAGCTCAAAGTCTAGTTGGGACAAATCACTTAAAAATAGACAAAAATAGATAAAATGTCTATTTCTATGACACTATGCCAAGTACAGTACAAAGTTTCCTTTTTATTTGAAATCGGACCAAGTTAATTACGTTTTAAACCTTAATTAAAGTTTTTCGTCTATAAAATTGATGATCATAATACTATAAAAGATCATTTTAAGGTTTGAAAAAATATAAAAATATGTGTAAATATTTGTATATACACACACACATGTATTTTTTATATATATGGAGAGAGAGAGAGATTGAGAAAGAGAGACACAGACAGATGAGAGAGAGGCAGCACACAGAAATAATAAAGCAAACCTATTTATTTTTACCAAGAGTTGCCTTTTGTTAACAAGATTAAATAACCTCTTGAAACTTCTGCTTTAAGTTGAAGGATGCAGCACTTGCATCTATCTATTCTTTTGTCCCAAATTGCATTGACAGTGCTGAAAAATGTATTTTTAAAAGAAATAAATCCTAACAGTGGTGGAAAAATGTGAAAGTTCTCTGCCAGTGGTGCAGAAATTTTGAGGCATTGCAAAACTGAAGGAATCAGAGCTAAAAGAATGCAGCATAAAAGATAGGTCGGAGAAAAATTATCTCACATGGAACCTTTCTTCCCTAAAGAGCTCCAGAGAAATTTTAAAGCCAGAGTCAACACATGAAAACAAAGCAACCATCTGGGAAATTATTAAATATTTAATAATTAAAGACCCTCCTTCAAAACAGCAGTGCAGCCAGGGCCCCTCCGCTTGCCCACTCACGCTGTCCACCAGGGGGCGCTCCGGGGATGCTGTCGCGGGGATTTAAGAAGCCAAGCAGAGGCAAAGACAAGGTCACCTCTTTGGTGACAGCTGGAAATTAGAACTAGAAAAAGAGCAGCAGAGCCAGCCTTTGCCTCCAGATTAAAGCCGAGGCATGAGTCCCTGCAGAGAAGTTCTGAAGCAGAGACTCCCACGGAAGCGTTTGCGGGACAGGCAGAATGGAGAGCCCTTCTCTGCGCATGGGGCCACCTGCGCACTCTGTCCTGCCTCATCCCTGCCCCTCCTCTCAACCTATGTCGCCAGTCCGCAGTCAGGACTTCCAGCCACAGCAGGTGCACGGGAATTCTCCTTTGCGTAATGAAAGCGCCCTGGTGACCAACGGTGTTTTAGTCTAAACCATCCATTTAAAATAGCAACGTAGAGTTCAAAAATCTTCAAAACTTTTAAGAAAACTACTAGTGTGACATATTACAGAAACATAAACAAATATGAGAAGAAGCAGAGTTCATGGGTGAAAGACAAAAAAAAATGAATGAAAGAGGAGTCACAACTCATAAAAAAGGAGACAGAGTTCTAGTAAAATTAAAAAGAAAACAATAGATGAATCAGATTGGGAAGCTGACGTGAGCAAAGATGAATTAGTGGTTTAAGAGATAGAAAGAAGAGAGTCTCCCAGGACTCACTGCAGAAGGAAAAGTAGGCTGAAGTGATTTCTGGAGGTTGGCCCCTGACCCTACGCAAAATGTTATTATCTGAGGCATGGACGCCATCAGCAAAGCCAGTGTGTGCTGTGTGTTCAGGAGACGGTGGAACAAGGCATGATGGGAAACTCCGGTCAAGGTGGATTTGATGTACTGATGGGGTTGGCTTAACTTTGCATTTCATGGGAATTCATTGCATTTCATGGGAATTCATTTCATTTCATGTGACTCCCTTCTCTGTGCTCAGGTTTTATGGCTGACCAAGAAAACGAGGGCCTTGTTATGTTTGAAATGGGCCTCTACCGTCCCGTGCTCACGGTTCTTTTCCAAGATCAGGTAGGCGTTTAGGACATAGATGTGAAAGGCCTCCTGGGGTGAGTTATTTCTAAATGTCTTCTGGTGGATGGTTATATAATTCATATAACCTAGGGCTCAGAATCGCTTTACCTGGCACCCAGTGCAGAGGAGACCGCAAACTCAAAATACCTGCTCTGCAGGGGCTTATATGGGATGTAAAATGCAGATGTGTTTTACTAGAGAAGCTGTTAATTTTATGATAGCAACTCTAGACTGTTTATAAGATGAAAAACGTGTACGGGAGTCTGCAACAATTTCACACCCCAGTTTGATGCTTTGGCAGATGTTATGGGAACGTTCTGCAAGATCATTAAAGCAGAGCTGGTTCAGAGTGTATGTCCCCAGAGAGCCACCTGCCAAAAGCATCTGCCTTAGAGGCTTGTCTGGACCTGTCCCCAAGATGGGTCTTGTATGAAAGAATTTTCTCTGATGTGATAAATATGCGCTTTCCCCCTACACTTAGCTTATGCTAATGAAGATGCTTATTCTTATGACAAAATTCTTTAAAACCGGGGTAGCACAGACATTTCTAAAAGATATTTACTATTTTGGGGGACCCATTGGCAGCCAAAATGGGGATCCCTTTTATTTTGGGACATTTTCAGAAACAGGATAGGAAATTGATCAGGGAATAGATTTCAAAATTTCTAAAAGTGTGAGTTTTAGAAGCTTTATTTAATGAGACCATTTTATTTACAATGATTGCTGAGTGGTCTATCCAGACTCTGAAATTTGAAATGCATGAGTTTAAGTGTCCTTCAAGATTTTATGACTGGTTACAAACACTCACCCTCCCAGGAAACCCACAGAAGGCCCCTAGATGTCATCGAGGTAAATTCCTGAGATGTGTGGGAGATTTTATGCATCACACCAGGCAAGAGAACAATCAGTGAAGCTCACTATGTACCAGTTGAACAGATGAGAGTCTTTAAGTTAAAGGAGAAATTTGGAAAGTGGAGCAACATTCAGATGAGTTTTTATTCTGGCAAAAGCTTTTAATAGGGACTCTGCCCCGTTTATATGCTCAAAGAGTACAAAGAGTTCTTTTTTGTTTTTTAACCCAGATGAACTTCAGAAGATCCGCACCCACTATCCTACAAGTCCCCAGGCAAGAAGTAAGAATAGCAGTGTGTGAGTGAAATGTATGGGGTGGTCCCAGAAGTTTAACAACTAGATCAAGATTCCGAAGATTTGAAACCTTGAGCAGTCTGAAGACGGATAAAACTGGTTTTTATATTATACTCCCCAGAAATGCTGCAACACTTGTTTGTTCCAAAACTCTGCATCTAACTACAATTGTTTCCCTAGAGCAAAAGTTGGCAAACTACAGCCCACAGTCCAAATGTGGCCTGCTGCTTGTTTTTATAAATAAAGTTTTGTTGGCACACAGTCATTGTGTATTGTCTATGGCTGCTTTTGCTTTATAACAGAAAACTTGAATAGCTGTGACACAGCCCATATGGCCCAGAAAGCCTGTAGGGTGACCAGCCATCTCTGCTTACTGGGTACTAAGATGTTTCTTGGCATGAAGGACTTTCCGTGCTAAAACTAGAAAAGTTTTGGGAAAATCAAGACAGATTGGTCACCTTAAGGTCATGCCTTTTTAAAGGAAAGTTTCTGAGATTACTAAAAAGCATTAAAAATAATCCTGGGAAGATAAAAAGCCACAGTCATAAAAAATAGAAAAGAAAGAAATAGAAAAGAAATGGGTGGGTTTTAAGACTCTTGATGAAACTTAGACTGCTTATGCCTCAAAAGAGTAAAAAATCTCAAAGTGGACAAGTTAGCCTTCTTAGACCTCAGAGCAGGGATCCAAACCTCTGGTGAGTTGTATAATTATTTCATTATATATTATAATGTTATAATAATATAAATAAGTGCACAACAAATGTTATGGGCTTGAATCATCTTAAAACCAACGCCCTCCACCCACCCTGCTCTCTGGTCCATGGAAAAATTGTCTTCCATGACAACAGTCCCCGGTGCCCAAAAGATGGGGAACTGCTGTCATAGAAGACACCAAAAGAGGAAGAGAAGAGACCTCAAGATGAACAAAGTGCCTCTATATAGATGTCTTATTCAGCTCAGTCTACTGTAGCAAAATAACATAGACTGAGCTCTCTAGAGTATCTTCTTATAAGGGCACTAATCACATCATGAGGGCCTCATCCTTCTGACCTCATCTAAACCTAATTATACCCCCAAAGCTCCAATTACCATCTAATTATCTCCAAATACCCCTACATTAGGGGTTAGGGCTTCCACAGATGAATTTTGAGAGGGCAAAATTCAGTCTATAGCAACAGGTTTTATTTATTTATTTTTCAATAAAGTAAAAAAATTTAAAAACCTCATGAAAATGATACCTGTGCATCGAAGTTCAAAAAAATCCAAATTGGACTTGGATGTTCACCATTGAAAAAAATTTGAATTATATCTCAACCAACATGGTGAATATGATCTGAAGCTAGAAAATACTCTGGTTTCCCACTCATAGAAAAGTGTGACGAGCACACAGGTACAGGAGAGTCAGGTAGTCTTGATGTACACTCATGTTACTACTATCAGTTAGACCAGCCAAATCGTGAGAGGCTTCGCTGAGCCTGCACTCAAGTCAGCTCTAGTGAGCTTTCCCCAGCACATATTTCCAGAGTGGGCAAGGTGTTGCCGTAATGCCACCCAGTTTGGAAAGGCCTCCAGTAGCCTCACCCTCACTGACTCTGACTTTTGCTGTGGGACTTGTTTTGGCCAACAGGACATTAGCAGTGGAAATCAAGTATAGCTTTGAAAAATTTCTTGGATATTAGAATCCCCATCTCTGCCGCCATGTGGACGAGCCAAGCCTGGCTCCCTAGAGGATGAAAGATGACATGGAGAAAGACTCCAATTGTCTCCACCGTTAATCCAGCCAAATCCCCTGGTCCGGCCAGCCTGCCAACGGTCACATGTGAGTGAGGCCAGATGAGCCACCAACTGACCACAGTAATGAGCCAATCAAGTCCCAATCAGCTGAACCATCCAAAGCACCAACTTAATCATGATAAATAATAAACATCATTTAAAGCCACTAAGTTCTAGGAAGTTTGTTATGCAGTAAAGGCTAACTGATACACAGAAGGTGAATTTTACAAAGACACCACAAGTAGCCATAAATAAATAGCAAAGCGCAAGAAAATTACGACTTTAAAAACATCCACATTTGACTGCTAGAAGTAGATATTTGAACATTTTTGAACTTCTGTACTGACTCTCTCTATATAGTTCCAAGAAAAGAATAATGCTAAGTAGTATAGATGTCTTCAGCAAACTCTGCAAACTGCACATCTGCTCAGCTTCTCTGTTTAGAGGCTCTGGTGGTGCTTTCTGTAGATTGGGGTCTTGCTGGAGTTCTGTCCCCAGCCAATGCTGCATACCTGGTAGAATGGAAGGTATGAAGGTATGAAGAGCTTACCTCAGGGAAGCCAAGAACGTAAACAGGAAAATTCATTCCAGAGGCAGTTGCTAACAGAATTCGTGCTGGGTTCTGTGTTATATTAAAAATCCTCTTAACTAGAAAGATTATGGTTTTGACTTCAGGCCTCTGGATGTGGACAGGGAACCCAGGAACGGAATCAGGAGATGACTCCTTGCAGGCTGCAAGATGACACAAAAACGAACAAGTGCTCTCTGCTAACCATGGGGAGCAAAGCCAAGGCCACACTCTTTGCCTGTCTCCTTTCCCCAGAATACCACTGTCTGCTCCAAATGGGCAACTGAGGGCAGAGCTCGGCTTGCCAGAGCTTTTGCCAACAGCATTAAAAGGGCCATCCATATAGCGTCCTGGATAGTGTCATACATGTCACCCAGAGATGAAATACAATATTTCATCACATGTGAACATGGATAGTTACATTTTCCTGCCTTGTAATTAAAGCAACCAGATATGGGGCAACATTTAAGTGTTTTCTCTGCTCACTGCCTACCAAGACACGGACCAGCGAGGTGTTTGGTCACGTGTGAATATGCACGGTGAAAAAGTGCCAAAATAGATAATGTAGAATCTGTTTTATGTGTGTGTGTTTTTTTTTTTTTTCACTCTACGAATGGCTTTTATCACCCTTTTTCCAAATGCACGTGGATGGGCCATATCCTGTTTTCATAAACTCAAATTTCACTGGGACGCAGCCACACCCACGTGTTTATGTATTGTCCATGACTGTTCTCATCCTCAGTGGCAGAGCTGAGTAGGCACAGAGACTGTCTGGCCTGCAGAGCCAAGACGACGTACTTTTTGGTTCTTAACAGACAAGGTTTATGAGCCCTGCTCTCTGCCCACCATGAGCCCCCCACCCCTCACCTCCTGCAGTCACCAGCCCCTTGTCACCCTCTGCTGGCCCTTCCTCAGGCTGGGGTGCTCCTCTTTTCTTCCCTCTCCTCTCTCTTCCTGTGTTTTTCTCCTATAAAGAGAGCACGCAGAGTGTTTATAAAACTCCATTAAAAAAAAAAAAAAAGAACCCAAAACTCTATTTTTCACAAAGCACGCCACATTTTTTTTTTCTTCAAAATGTTCAGTCCTGATATATCTATATCCAGATAATCTTTTACTTCCCCAAAGCCACTGTGCTGGGTTTTTTGGTTAAGAAGAAAGTTTTATCTGTTCCAGCTGACATCTCTGCGTGTGTTTCCACAAGATATAAGACAGAGAGTTCTGATAGAGTCTCATGAATACCTCCCACTCCCGAGGGTGCTGGTTGGCTGTGCTCAACGGTTTGGCTAACACAGACCTGTTGTTAGGGTCTGAAGTCTTAACAAGTCCCTGTTGCTAGGGTTAGACGCTTTGTGTTTCCCCATGTATTCTATCACCGAGCTTCTGACCACACAGGAACCTCTGTGCCTGCTCCATCTTGTTCAAAAGCAGTTCCGGTTTTTTTGGTTTTTTTTGGTTTTTTTTTTATGGCTGATTGATGCTGGGTTAGGTAAAAGTTGAGAGACAGTATCTTAAAGCCATCAAACCACATTTATGGGAGACAACCCACTGACTCTTTTTATTCACATGGTTTGTTTCAATTTGCCATAGCTTTTTATCACAAGCGATGGCCTGCCCTTTTTCAAAAATGTCTTCAGATTTACCTGCCCTTTTAGGGAAGTAAGCACACGTAAGTTCTTTAAGCCATCACCATAGATGTTAGTGCTGCTTTTAGCTTTCTGTGCAATGCTTCTGAACAACATGTTATCCTAGATGTACAGGAGGCCCCCAGAGTGAGTCCCTGCAATGTACTCCTAGGGACCAATCCTCTAGTCCTGTGGTCCCCAACCCCTGGGCCATGGACCAGTACCCATACGTGGCCTGTTAGAACTGGGGCTGCACAGCGGGCGATGAGCAGTGGGCGAGGGAGACAAGCTTCTTCATCTGTATTTACGGGGTCTCCCCATCACTTACATCAACGCCTGAGCTCCAACTCCTGTCACAGCAGCAGCGGTATTAGATTCTGCATTATGGAGAACTGTGTAATTATTTCATTATATATTACAATGTAATAATAATAGAAATAAAGTGCACAATAAATTTAATGCCCTTGAATCATCCCAAAACCATCTCTCCCACTCCTGGTCCATGGAAAAATTGTCTTCCATAAGTTGGTTCCTGGTACCAAAAAGGTTGGGGACTGCTGTCCTAGTCAGTTTATCCAGGTTATTAGCTCCAGGATGATTGCAGTCTCTTTTCTCTCTTGCTAAAATAATGGAATTCTTTACTGCTGATTGAGTAGATTCATTTAAGCAATCAGGCAGCTTGTACTTCCTTGTGGATGAATGCTGAATTACAGTAAGCAATGCCAGTTTTAGCACCCTTATGTATTAGGTAGTTGATTTTTTTTTTAAGTCAGCCTTTCAACAAACCATAGAGGTACAGTCATTTATGAAATGGCATCAGGGCACAGCATAAGAGAAAACAAGGAGTGGTCAAGCTGCACAGATATCCTCACTAAGGCAGTGTTGGAAACATTGTAACTGTTGGACAAGTTTACAATCCAGTGAAATGAAAATAGCTTGGCAATCTGCCTCCTATGGGGTTCGCATACATCTGTTGGGGATTCAAAGCAAATCCCCTACAGGGTGATAATCCTCAGGACATTTGTGCTTTCTGGCTCACAGTCGCATACATCTGGGAATACCGGAAGCCTCTTGTTTATGGCTTAGGTGTGGTCACCAAGATCAGGAAGAGTTCTGTGGAGGTTTCTTCTAAATGCCAAACTCCATAAATCTCAGCACCACATTCAATCCCACCAAGCGCCAGGCTCCTGGTGAGCTGTTAGTGCTGGTTACACTCCATCTGCT